ATATATATATATATATATATATATATATATATATATATATATATATTATATTTCCAAGTTTCAAGCTTATTACGTTCTATTTTCCTATTTACCTTTCCTTCTGTTTTCAACATAGTTAGTCGTATATAATGCGATAATAACAAATAATAACGAAATAGAGATAATAATAGAGAAATAATTTTACAACAATTTAAATAATGCATATAATTATAATTATAAAAATATATTTGTAAGGAATTGTCTGTTTTTGAATTTGAAATTCTTTCTACTTGTACTTGTAAAACGATCAGTAATTTTTAACCCGGATTTTACAATGAATCGCGAATGGAATAAATGTTATTTTTCAATAGTCGTTTATCGATGAACATTGACCATTCGATAATTTAATGTAAATAATTTACCTTCAGCATAGAGATTGACGCTATCGCAGCCTCGGAAACAGTGTCACGTCTTCCGAGAGAACGAGCCATCAGAGAACGATGAGAGAACGATGTTTTCAGAGCATCCAGCAGATTGATGACTATACTGATGAACTGCTTAATAACACAGGCAAAGATATAAGCGATCTTACTCATAAATATAACTTAACAGGCTTCAAAAAGAAAATGTAATGTGATGATTAAAACGGACAACACAGTATAGCATAGTATAGCATAGTATAGCTGTACGAGTATAGATACATGCGAAATTCATGTGTCATCTTTATATTGTACAATGTAGTAAATTAGTTTATATTATCCGTTTACAAAATTATTTACAAGCACAGGTGATTCTCTCGATAGAGAAAATCATTTTCAGTTATAACTTTTTTTCGTTAAATCACGCAGCCTGGTACATTATTTCTCGTACATAATTACTCGAGACTTGCGTTCTCTCGACACTCAATTTATCAATCTGCACAGATATACACGGAAAGAAAGATTAGTCTTAAATCAAGACTATATATTCTCATATATAAGAATATTATAATCTTCATATAGAATATTTTTAATCTTGCAAAAATAATACTTGCATCAATAGAAATTCAATCAAATCAAGACTAAAATTTTTAAGAAGATTATAATATTCTTACTTGTATATGAGAATAATTTTCTTGTTTTAAGTTTTAACTTTTAACTGTGTGACTCACTTCTTCTGTGTAATTTTAAATTATACTCGGGAATCGATGTAATCGATGTGGGTTATATCACAAGCAATTTTAAAACGAGCGACAGTTAGATTACAAGATAATTAGCAAGATAATTAGCAAGTATTAAAACGAGTATCGGACACAGTTAAGCAAAACTAATTCAATCTCTCTCTCTCTCTCTCTCTCTCTCTCTCTCTCTTTTTTTTCTCTCACGTGCGTGCGAATTTGACAAAGCAGACGCACGCCAAATAATATAAAGCATGCATTTCGCTCTAAAGTGAGATGAAAAATTTCAAAAGATTTAGACTGAACTTAGTGTCCAATCTATTCGTTTACAGACTCGTTTACTAACCTCAGAAGCATTTTTCGCCATTACAGCAACCTGTTCGGGATCTCTGCCCTGTCCTAGAAACGCGCCCAGCACCGCGGTCAAAATTTCCTAAACAACCGACACCAGCCATGTGCGCTAAGTCCAAAGTTTGATAATTATTTACAAGGAATGTGAACGAGCGCAAAGTGGAAGTGTGTGTTTTCGTCTGGTACGTTGGTGCAAGTATCGCGCGTATTTTGGATTCTTTTATCCAGATAAGGCAAAATTGAGACGGATGGCTGGAAAAAGAACATATAAACGTTGTTTTTGACAGCGACAAAGAGAAAATGCGAGATTACTTGCAACATTTTTATTCTCTATTGCATAAAATAGTACTGGAAATAATTTTGTAATTAATGCAAAACTAAATTACGTCAATAAATATCCACTTCATTTGATTGAAAGAAAAGAATTACTGCAAATTTATTAATCACATCAATAAATTTGCAGTTATTTCCGTTTTAAGTGCGAACTTTCAAATTTCCTTTATCCAAGAAGCAAGCCTCTTTTCGCCTCTTGTTTTTCACCTCTTTTTGTCAGCCAAGTGCCTCGATTATTCTTTCGCGCAAACGAAACAAAGATCGAAGCGAAGTGAAACCGCGCCAGTGAATTTCCGGCCGTGAGACAAATTAAATTGTGTAGAAAACGTAAAGATGGTGTGACGCAAGTACGCGAAAATGACGAGCCGTCATAATTAGAACAATTATTTGACGCAGCCTTTCCTAGTCGTCGTACACTCGGGTGGCTCGCGACAATGGGCCCCGTGTAATTTACAAATTTCTACCAGAGCGATAGAAATCGGATTTGAACTTGCCGTGCCGAACTCCAAATTACAATAAACGAATAAAGTAAATTAGAAAGAAAAAAAGAAAACAGAAGTAAAATAGCGTACATATAAATATAAGAACTGAAAAAAATTATGATTACACGAGATATTTTTTAATTCAAAGGGAATAAATTTTTTTCATTTGCATTATATTAAGTATCTCTAAGTATATAAAATATTACAAAGACCGCGCGATCAAGCGTTGGCTACGATTTCCTTATTTACATTATATGAAATAAATATAATTCCATTTAGATTCTCGCGTCGCAAAAGGGAAAGGTCTGTCCTTCGCGACAGAAGCAATCAACGTTTCAGACTAACCGATGCTCAGTAACGTAAATCTCACAGATTACAGAGAGATTCCTTTTCTACGTGCTACATGCTAACTAGCGGGTAACTATCTACCTGATGGATGCTGATTAAAGGGAGCGGTTGTTTCAATGTACAGCGTTCTCGGGAATGGGATATTGAGAGAGAACAGAATTTTGTTTTCCAGCCTAATCTCGCTGTATCGCCGATGTCATCAGAAAAACAGTGGTACAGAGTGAAGTGAACCGAGATTTATGTTAACGTTGGAGCACCATGATTAGCTTCACTTACCTGCATGGGGCTACTCTGATTGTCCACCTTGTCGATACCATCCACCGGTTGCTGAGGCCCGCCTAATAACGCCGTCAGAACTCTCAGACCGACGGAGAGCAAATTGGCCCACGGGCTCGTAGTCGTACCCTCGTCTATTTCATTTTTACTTGGTCCAGTCGCACCTCCGGTGCCCTGTCCCAGCAGCATTTGCATCAGCATCCCGAGCATGTTGGACCACGAGAAACCGCTGCCGCCGCTCTCCTGCGCGATATGAAAAAAAAAAAATCGAGGAATACGGATGAGAAAAGAAATAGATTGTTGTTGTAGTCCAAGTTGCCGTATCATAAATGTAATAAATCGGATACTACTTATTTCTTCGGTCTTCCCTGAATGTAATATGTAAATGTGTATATGCGTGTCACACTAGTGGAATTGAATTTTGTAGGTGTGTATATGTATGTGTGTGTTTGCGCCTATATGTTTTACCTGAATCTGATTAGTGCTGATATCCTCGAGATCATCGATCGCTACTTTCTTCATCGCATTTGGTTTCTCCGCAAATTTTCTTTCTTCTCTGATCTGTTGTTGGTATTGTTGGGGATATGATTGTTGTGTGTATTGAGGATGCTGCGGTAACGCCGCGACTTGTCCCAAGGCAAGTGCGATGAAACATAGCGACACGTATTGGTTGTACTGCATTTTCTGTAACAACAAAAGGATACCATATCTCTGTTATATTTTCACAATGTATATATGTAATTTGTAAGAATATCTATAAATTCGGATAAATTTTTTTGTCAAGAAAGGCCGTTTGTATATTACCTAATTAGTAAAAATTTATTACAAGATTAAAATGTTGGTTAATTTTATTTTACAGCTTATTTTATCCTCATCGATAAACTTAACATGTCTACTATATAAGCTCGTTGATTATATTAACATTATGACGATCATCGTCGTCATTGACATAATTTATTATATGTACATTTATGTAAGGTCTATATAGAAATCTTAGTAGAAATCTGAATGTTGAAGTGATGACTTGACTCGGAAACACGAGGGGGAAGAACATACGATACCGGGTCACTGAATCAGAAATGAAAGTATGTCGCGGCAATTGAAACGATGATTCTAATAAAATTAAATTAACAACAAGTAATCTGACTAATACAAATTTATTTATTTGCATTGTTTATATACATATAATCTTCTTCTGTAATATTTTTTCAGAAAAATACAAGAAACGATAATTATATATTCATTATTTCTTTAAAAAAAATATCGAAAATATTTATGAGTATCACGAAACGTGAAAAGAAGAGATTTTTCTTTAAAAGAAAAAAAAATTCTCAATATTTTGGAGATATTTTTCATAACCAATAAAAATTAAAACATATATATATATATATATATATATACATACATACATAC